CTTGTGATTGCCACATGACTTAAACAGTCTACTTCCTTTCATAGGAAGTGGCATTTACTTGGCTTCATCTTTAAGTTTGCCTTACATCTAATAAACACATGATTTAATCTCTCTAAGTGTTCTTCAAAACTCACAGTGAAAACCATAGCATTGTCTAAGTAAGAAAAACACTCTGAATCTTGTAAGCCTGATGATAATACATCCATCAACCTTTCAAAGGTGGAAGAAGCATTATATTACCCAAATAGCATTCTATTAAATTGGTATTTTCCTGTTGGTAATATATATATATAGTTTTAGCTTTATCCTTTTCTTCTGTCTCTAGTTGCCATAATCTGCCTTGCAAGTCCACAGATGAAAAATACTTACATTGACCTATTCTGTTTAGCATTTCCTGTATATTAGGTAATGGGTAAATATCTTTAAGGGAAATTCCATTAATCTTCTTGAAATCAACACAGAACCTTAAACTACCATTCTGTTTTTGGAACTAGTACAACTGGTGATGCATAAAGACTACAGCTATCTTCTATCAGAATGTCAGGCTGAAGCTGCCAGCAGTCTTTCCTGGTTTCCTGTCTTACCAGATCATAAGTATTTCATCAGATTCCCCATTCCCAGGAGTTATATAAGGTTGCCTCTCTCCTTTTCCTTGTTCTTTTGCTCTTTCTCACCATCCACTCTCTTGCAGGGCTGTCCATTGCTGTTTGCAGAAATGACTTATGTGCCTTCTCATGGCCCTGGTTCTGTGGTAACTTGCCTTTCTCTCGTGGACTGTGTTTACCAAGAATCTTTGGTTCGTGGAGGTGCTTTCTAATGATCTATTCCATTGGTTTTGTGCTCCCCTCTCCTTTCTCCTTGTCCAGTTCTTAACCTTTCTCTGATCCTGTGCGTCTTCAGTGTCTCAAGATGGCTGTATCCTCTCTGCTGGCTATAAAAACTGTAGATAAGATTTTTATTCCCATCTTCTTGTCATCCCCATGAATAACAGGGATTTATGCCCTGTCATTATTTCATCATCCTTGAGCTTCTCCCTTCTCGGCATTTCTCGGTTCAAGATAAATGATTTTCTCAGTATGAGATGAGTGTTCTCTCTTGTGTTGTGGATGACCAAAGTCAGTGTTTCCAATGCATTTCCTCACATCCAGATTTGTTTGTTGTCCCATTATTTTCCATGGTTTGTTCACAACAAACAGCTTTTTCAATTTCTGGCCCTTCCCTTTAAGTTAACCATGGCCCCCTTACATTTTCAGTCAGTTTGTGTGAGCATTTGCTAGCCAGATGCAGTATTTGTGTCTTCACTTCCATTATTTTATAGACAGTTGGCTCTTACTGGCTTCATTTCAAAGAACTTCTACTGACAACTTATATTTTCATTCAGAAGATGTCTTCTCTGGGTTGGTTTGTCAATTGTGCCAAGGCCATCTTGACCCTCACTCAGTATCTGAGTATCTGGTCCACCTGATTGTGCAACAAAAACTCAGCCATCATCTTTGCATCTTGACATCGTGAAGATTCTGGTTTCCAAAGCCTTTTGATCTCATACTCAGCTTGAATGAGAGGTTCTTTTGCTTTTAGGGATTCTGGTTTTCTTTTAGTCCTTTATACTTCTCATACACACCCACTGGCATCCACTTCAGTATACACTGTGTGATGAATGGAATATGTCCCAGGATTCCTTGTCAGCTCCTGTCATTCTCATTCCACCTCTCCATCCCTCTGCATTGTGGTGGCTGAATTGCTCTAAAACAGTTCTGTGTATTCTCCTCATTCCGACCTACAGCTATAGACATATTCTTCTTTCTGGATTAGAGGCAGATCTGGACACTGCCATCTCATGGGTTTGGTTTCCAGAGGAGCAGTCCATTCATATCAATATCTTGGAAATGTTGGCTGCTTATTGGGCTTGTCGATGGCTTCATTCACAGTTCATGATTCATCTGGTGATAACCAATTTGGACAATCTCATGGTTGTATCTCACATCACATCACTCATTCTCAGGACCTATGCTTTCTCACTTTCACTTTAGAATTTTGCTTTTGAACCCACAACCATCTTATCTCATTTTGGATAGAATCCTTTCGAATGAGTGGTTTCTTTTGTGCTTTTCTCATCAGTCATCTTCCTTGTCCAGTCCTTCTTTAAGACTGTAACCTCTGCCTTGTTCTTCAGGCTTTCACTAGTTTCCCATTTAAACTTTTTATCTTCTGTTCCTTGTATCATCTGCCCCTGAAAATGTATTTTTTCTTTTGCTTGCTTGTGAAAAGCATTTGGAACCTTATTCATTGGATACCTCCTGCACTCATTATTACATGGATCAATCAATTTTATTTCTGGATTCATCCTTTCTCTCAAAAACTTGTGCTGTCCAGGAGGGTTATTGGATGTTTTCTCCCATCACTTTCTCTTCCATTTTGTCTTTATACAATCTTTCCAACCCCAGTTATCTTTTTTATCCAGTTTAGGCTGTTCATTATTAACTTGCTCAAACTGCCCTCTTCTGTGGAAGCCACCATTACCTGTTTTTGTGATGGGATACCTGTGAATTGTCACATTTGCTTTCACCAGTTTAGTGAATGAATTTATCTGGTTGGTGTATTTTTCTTTGGATGAGGATGACCATACTCTCTATTGTATCACCTTGCTTCTTACCAATGTTGTTCCTTGGATGAGATCCTGTTGGTTGAAATGTGGACAAGACCAAACATGTTTGTATCACATGGTAGTTTCTTGTGTTTCTAGCTCTTGCTTCTTCTGGTTGCCATTCTCCAGTCTACAGAGGAGGAGATACAGAAAGTGTTAGACCCATATACACTTGCTTCATGCCTGCTGTTGAGATGGGGTTTACTTCAAAACTGTTTTGGCAGTATATATGTTTCCTTTCCAGGTTATATTTCACATGAACAACAAAACATCAGCAACAGATGTGTGCCTGCCCTCACGCATGGCAAGTGCCTGCTGTCCTTAGTAGTAGAAACCTATTGTACAGTTTATCTGTGTGTGCCTTATACAGATGTGTGTTTCCTTGTTTATCAAAGCACATTTCTGACATTCTCCCCCATGCATATTTCCTCCCATCTGCTATTTTTCTAGTGGAGTAAAAGAGAACTCTTGTTTCCCCAGTCCCAAGCTGCTGAGGAGATTGGTATGGAGACAGTGTAATCCCCCTTGTATGAGACTGACTGGACACACCCCTCAAGGAAAATAGGGATGGGGTGTTACTTGGAAGTGTAGTAAAGGTCACTCCATTACATTATAAACCAAGCCATTCTCAGTGGCTAGTCCAGCCAGATGAGTCTTGGGATTGCCTCAAAACAAAGGTTTGGAATCCTACTCCCTGCACCTGACTGTGGTGAGTATCTTATGTAAGTATTTCTCCAATATGGAATGGCCTGACTTCTAACCCTAGCCACACTTCATATTCCTATTCAGCTTACCAGCTGGGCAATCTTACTTTCCATCTACATTAGTGACAATTTAGCACCATGCAAAAGATTCTTGTGACACTTTCTTTTGCTCTACCCCTTCTCCTCCTGACAATAAATACCACAATAACTTTGGATGAAGATTATTCTCTAGTTGAAATGGATGTGATCCTCCACCAAATGCAGCCCCACTAGGCTACCCTTTACCTGATTGGCTTTCATTTCCTTTCCTGATGTTTTCAGAAAGGAGCTTATCTTTGTAATTTCTTCCTCTGCAGTGTCCTCTATATCATCTTCAGTATGAGATTATAGCTCTTTGTGGAGCAGAGTGGTGAGTAGCGTTTCTGAAGTTAACAGATATCTATCTGAAATGTATTTTAAGATAAGGAAAATGTTAATTTTTGAAAGGTTTTCTTGAGTATGATTGAGGAAATATCATTATTGAATGCTGACTAAAATCAATAGAAATGTGTATGTCTTTGTAATTCTTATGGATGGATGGATGCCCTATAAGGAATGTAAGTGTTGTTGTAAATGATATACAACCTAAATTAACCATATCTGGAGCCAGCCTTAAGGCAAAGCCATATACAACCTAAATTAACCGTATCTGGAGCCAGCCTTAAGGCAAAGCCATATACAACCTAAATTAACCATATCTGGAGCCAGCCTTAAGGCAAAGCCATATACAACCTAAATTAACCATATCTGGAGCCAGCCTTAAG